GTCGTCGTCGTAGTCGCAGTCGTAGTAGATGTAGTTGTTGTGGTTGTTGTGGTTGCGCTGCTGGTAGCGGGTGTTTCTTTGCAGACAACAACAAGAACAGCAGCCGGCTGCAGTACTAGCACTTGTGGTCGATAGTGTGAGAACCATCTTTGTTAGAAGGGCGTTTGGCAGCAAGTTCTTGCTCTTGTGGCAGTCGTTGTTGATCCGGCAAGGAGTGGCAGCAGTAGCAGCAGCCGCCGCAGCAGCACCAGCACCACCACCACTCCTCCTCCTCCTCCTCCTCCTCCTCGTGCTGCGTGCTTTCACGCGGGCCTTCGTGGGGTCGGGAGGTGGGAAGGCAGAAAAGATTCTCGTGAGCTTCCCGTGAAATTCAGGAACTCCAAGACCGCAGCGGAAGCGAGATCTGGGCCTCGGACGGCGACTCGTAGTGCTCCGGCAAAGCCGTGGAACCTCACTTGACCCACGGTGGCTGTGGTTTTGCCGAATTGCCAAGCCGTGCCAAAGACCGTCTTTGGCAAGGTGCTAGACCAAATTGCTCTTGGCACTGCAATCTTTACTGCAACCCCACACATGACCGAGAGCGACAGATATGCCCTCTGCAGACGGAAATTTGGCAGACAACCCTACGCCAGTGTTCGGAATGCTTGTTTTCCGCTCCCCGACTGCATGCGGGGTTTGAAGAGCCAGTGCAAGCTGCAGTCAGCTCTCTCTGTGCACAGTGGTGCGAAGTGCGCCACTTCTCTCCCGGTCATTTGCCAGCATCAGCTAACACAAAAGCTGGTCCATTGTTCACAGCTCTGCCTTTGCAGAGCAGAAGCCACCACGTCCTTTCAGAATCAGGAAGCACACGTAGACAGGCCCCGGTTTGGACTGGAACACGTAATGAACCCTTAAAGACTCCAGGACGGGCAGCCAGGTCTGCATGAGCATCTGCTGGCAACGTGCTTGCACTCGGTAGAACACTTACTGTTGCTGAAGAACTGTCATTGCAAACCGGGCCAGGTCGTGCACCTCATTGCCAGCACAAGCGAAACAGCCGAAACAGCCACTCTTCGGGCTTGTGTCGAATTCAGGCCGAACTACTTTTGTCTTTGTTGCACTCGCGAACTCGTGCCGTCGAATCTCAAAAGCGAATCAAGAGATGCAGCCATAGCTACACATCCGGCGCGCGATGCGAACCTCGCGTCGAATCAAACATGTCTTGCACAGTGGCCAGAAATGGCCGTTCCTGATACTTTGCAGCTTCATAGTTTGCCCTGAATACTGCCTGATGCTTCCAGTGGATGTAGGTCAACAGCCCGGCTCCAGCTGTAAATACCAAGAGCACGAGGGCACCCAAAATGTGGGCAGTGGTTTCTGCCATCTGCGGCTGTTGGTGCGCTTCCGCCTCGAAGCTCACGGCCACCCGAATGCCTGTAGAGAAGAGGAACAATGCCAGCCCATTGAGCAGGCATTTCACTGCGAGGTGTCTCCAGGCAACGATGTTGGGATTCAAGTAATAGCTGGCTGCGATCTCAAAGCCGGTTGGCCCCGCCGTTTCGAGCCGGTACGTGTGGTAGGTCTGGGCGACGCCCACATAGACGGCAATCAAGTTCAGGAACAAGACGAAGCAAAGGATGAAAAAGCTTGTGCTTCGTAGGCAGCCTTGAACATTCTGGAAATGGAGATCCTTCTTCATGTTGATTACATGCGAGCTGGCGGTGGTCATCAGAGATGAAACCACTGCCAGTTGCTGCACCGCGGAGAGCCGCTTGTCCAGCACGTTCAGCTGGAAGAACCTTGGGTCGTTCTGTAAGTCCATGGACTCAGACTTTACCAAGCTGGAGCCCTCCATCATCTGTGGAAGGCATCCCGGTTGGTGGTGCAAGTGGAACTCCGCATGTTGAGATGAAAACTCTTCAACTTGCGCCTGTCGCATTCGCATGTACCCCTTGGCACCGACGCTGTTCATCTTGCTTGCCATGGCCACTGCCTGCAAATCGCCAAATCATTTCACAGTTGATCCGGACAGCTGCAGAAGCATGCAGAACTTGGAATCGTCTGCACAGTTAGACCATGCAAGGCACATTCGTCGAACGAATTGTTAACAAGTCTCGCAGAAGGGGTGCTAGGAGTCTCTCTGTTTTAGTCGCCGCAAACGATACTCGAGCCGCCGAAGGCCGCGTGAAGGCTGTCAGCCTCGGGCACGGGGGGTTTCAGAACGGCAGACCTCAACACAACCCTCCCTAAACATGCGGGTGCTGCAAACTACAGCACTAGCGAGACTTATTTTGAGGCCAGAGTGATGGGGCCTTAACAATCAGGATAAGGTTCTGGTGCCTACTATCACATAGCACGGTACAGCTAAAACAAAAGTTAAAGAGACCAGAACAAGACATCATGACTCACCCCAAATACTACACCCTACAGTATAGACCCTATAAGCCCTACTAGTACAAATCCTATGAACCCTTGGTTCCAGGCTCTCAAGCTCCTTCAGGGCCCGGGCCGGACTCAGAGGAGGACTCCTCAACGTCCTCCCGAGCTGTCAGGAGCTCCTGAACATCTCATCGCTTCAAGGCTTAAAGAAGAGAGGGAAGTAGAAAGCCGGCGTTTTGGAGATGTTTATTCCTAGGCTGTTCCTAGAAAAAAACCTCGGTTTTTCTAGAAAGGCATAGGGAAGCCCAGTCTGCGTTTTGGAGATTCGGCCCTCTTCTGGTGATTTGCAGCAGATGCGGAGACGAGGAATGAAGCCAACGTGGCCTGCACAAGCCAAGATCCCCCTCCGAAGTCAAGACCTGAACCCTCTGTGCTAATGATATGGTAGTAGTATGATCGTATCTTATAATATCTTATAGAATATTCTAGTCTATTCGAATGTATTATAGTATATTCTAGGTACTCCAGAACCAAACCGCCTGAAACTTGAAAGCTCCCTAAACGAGACCAGCGGCTGAAGGCCACCAACAGTTCCACTCCTCTCGGCGCCTTGGCGTCAGTACCCTTGTTGATTTGCACGTATCGATCCGGCACGAGAGCCATATCTAATCTGAGTTTTCAGCGTGAAAGATCTGGATGAACTATCCAACCACCCGGGAGGCATTCGGAACAAGACCAGAATCCTTCAACTGCTTGTTCTTCTTTGGGTCTCTGTGTAAGGCTATCCAACCCTGTCTGCCCACATGAGAAGCCCTTGAGAGTGAGGATCTCTGTTCTCGCCACGCTGAAGCCACAGTGCTCTGTCTTCCCTCTGCCGAAGTGCCGAGGTCTTCGGCCGCGGTCCGCGGAGGCTTTTGGCGCGATGCGCCCGTCCTCTGCTGGATTCGGGTTACATCCTGTTTCTCGAGGCCCTCACGATATCATCAGAGCACAAAGTCATCCCCGCAGATCACGCAGGGACAAAGCGGGTTGGCCGACTTTGCTACAAGGGGCTGCAGAGCAAGGAATCACTCCAGGCAATCACGCTATGCCTGTGTTCTGTGTGCCCACAAAAGTTTAGCCATGGGCATTTAATTTCCGGTGTAGTGCTTGGAGATTGCCTCTGGCTGGAGAGCCTGTTTGCTGATAGGCTTCAAGTCCTAAACGCCCAGATCCCCATCCATCCCAAGAGTCGCGACTGCTGTCCTCCAGAACCACGCGCTGAAACTCTGCCAACGTAACTTCGCCGCCCTGCAAGGGTGCTGCTTGCAACAGCCAGCAGGGACTCACAATGGGAGACACTAGTACAAGGCTGTCTAGGCCGCGCCTGTGTTCTAAACCTTTTCAGTAGCTCAGCAGCATGTCCCTTGGCTGTCAGGCTCTGCAACCTGCCTGTGGATTGACCGGGGCGCTTTACCAGGTAGCCGTTATTCACGGCATTTTAGCCACGTGTCCCCGTCAACCGCCCTAATAGAGTGCCGCCAAGCGACATCAAACTCAAACCTCGGGACAGAGTCTAAGAGTCTCATTCTCTGTCGCCCAGCAGGACTAGCTCACCTTTGCGGCAAGTTTTCGTGAGAATGAATGTTTGCATCGCGCCACGCATCACTTTGGAGCATCTCTTTGATGTCCACCAGCGGAAGAGCACCTGGGAAGCCACCGGCCCCTTCTGGGGTACTGCATCAATGCGACAGCTCTCCGAGCGGCCTGTTCTGTGCAAGTCCATGTCGTTGAAAAGGCACGTGACCTCACTACCGAATCTGAAGGCCAAAACTCCAGATCAGGCTTGCCGCGGCTTTTTCCGGCGGTTCCGAGACGCCAGCGACCTGCAGGCTGCACTCTTCCTTCTCCTCGCAAGCAGTCGCAGAGCGTCTCCAGAGCTTAACATGGTGGAACCAAGCCTGAATGGCATCGCGCAGCAGGCCCTCGTACTCGATGAAGTTGTCTGTAGCCTACCAGGGGAACTCGCCACGAGGCAGCGGGGTCTGTCCTCTCCCGGTCGGCCAAGAACGTGCCTGCTCCACACGGATGAAGTCCTGGTACTGCCGCTAGTTGGCAGATCATGCAATGCTGAGGTCAAAGGCTGATATCACCGCCATCGCAACTTTTCCTGTGGCTGTATCAGCGCCTCCACGCCTTGCAGCTGCAACTTCGTTCATGCAACTGAATTACTGCTGCCGTTCGGCTTCTGACAGCAAAGCGTGTGTTGAGCAGGAGTCCCGTTACACTGGGCGGCTACACACCAAAACAATACTTTCGAAGGATGCAGCCGTTGTCACGAAGTGTCATTAGCACAACTGGGCGGCGAATCTCAGGCACGGAAAACTGAAATTATGGAGGTTACGCTGAAACGTCTCTCCTTCATATCACTCGAGTCGCCTGTATGATATAACAGTGATATAACCGCCGCCCTCTTCACATCGTCGCCCGACTGGTCTGCCAGTGAACGTAGTGCCATGACTCACGTGCCTGTGCACGTCGGGATTCCTGCACGGCGTGGTGAGACTGGCCTGGACTACAGGCGAGCGACACCTCGCAGAAGCACAAAAGTCCTAAATGCGACGGTTCACCGAAAGATCCGCTCAACTCAGCCCGCTTGGTCTTGAGCGGGCGAGGGCTGACAGTCACCAACTCCTGTGTGGCGCATGCCTGCAACAGAAATGGAACGGTCGGTGCATACAGAACACGAGGTCACGAGGTCTGACGAAACCGCTACGTTGCTTCCGGAATCCTAGGTCTTTCTTGTGGCCTTCGGAGGCATCAGGCGCCGCCGGCAACTGCCATACCCACCTTCACGTTTGCCCAAATCCCACACACTAACACACAAGCAAGACACGGATTTACATGCATTTACGTCATGGCGAGATATGAGATATGGGTCCCCGTAGAAAGTTGAATCTGGTGCGAAGGCTGCAAACCGGAGTCTTGGGCACAGTCAGTCCCTGTGTCTTGTGTTTCAACGAATTTGTTTCCACACCTCGGGCAGGCTGGTAGACTTCTGGATTTGGTATGTTGGCACTGTCGGAGTATCCAGAAGCTACCATCTTTTCCCTCTCGCATGGCTGAGGATCTATGCCCACTAGCGAGGTTGGATAGGTTACATCGACGGTTGAAGACTGTGCTAGACGAAGGGGGTCAGTCCATGAAGATGCCTAGCCCTAATTAAGCCATAACCAGCATCACGGACAAGACCTCTATCGTCATCAGGAAATGTGAAGCTCCCTGTAAAGGCCCGTTTGACAGAATGTTACAAAGACATGACGTACAGCGAGCCCCCATCAGGGCGCAGGGTTGAGGTGTATGTGAAAAGAAAAGGCACGTACCCTCAGATGAGAGTGCGACGGGGCCTTCTCCTGCAGTCCCGGCCAGTGGGGGTGGCCGGCCCATGAAGCGTCCTCCAGCCTGGAAACTGCTTAGCTCCGGGTGCGTAGGCTTAAGCCTTTTTGATACGATACATCCTTAAATAGGCCTTTGTTGCTGATACTTGCGCTCGCTACGAACACGCTACGGAGAAGTGGCTGCAAAAACGCAGAAGCCAGCATAGGAAGGAAACTAAATCGCTTTGGCTAACCTGCTGCAACCCAGTTTATCTGTTATAGGCCGCAGCGCAAGCACTGGAGTGAATTTAGGGGCATTTTCTGTGCATACACATGCACACATGCAATCACAGCAACACCGGTGCGCAATTTTCTTTTGGCATGGCATACACGCAAAAAAAGAACACATGCTGGCCTAGATCAAAACAAAGTCGGACTCGCAAAGCTTTGCTGGGGCTTTGACTCTCGGAAGGCTTCAGTTCTTCGAGCCCTGGCTGCCCTGCATCCCCTGACCTGGCTCCTTGTCGTCAAATGCAGCCTGGTGGCTCTTGCAAAAGCTGTCCGAAGCTTTCGTCTGGGCTACCTGGGTCACGGATCACCATCGTGCGAGTTTGGTCTGGCGCCAATGCACAGAACGCGCAAGTGGCCGCAGCTTCCAATTTGCCGAGCTTCACTTGGAGGCAAACATCGCCAAAAGGTATTGGTTTCCTACCTCAGCTGTGCAAGCTGACTCGGACCGATCGACTGCAGAACCAGGGGTCTTTCAACATTGCAAACTCTCCTTTCACTGCTTACAGCACTGCTCTGTCGCATGCCTCGTTCTATGGTTATACGGATGTGTCGGATGACTTACGGGATGCTTTGATCCATAGTGTAACTGTGGTTGCTCACCCAGGTCGGCGGCACGATGCCGCATCATAGCTCCAGGCAGATACACCCATTTACTACGGCAACCACACACGCTACGCAGCTTTCGGATGCTTAAGCCAGGAGGCAGCACCTCCACCCTGTTGCACTAGTCGGCGGAGAAACGCTCTGAGCAAGCACGGGTTCCTTCAGGCGCCAGGGTCAAACTCCACAAGGTGGACTGTGAAGCTCTTAACTTGCCAAAGATGGGGAGAAAAGTTTCTCGGGGTATTTTAGGAAAAAGCATTGGCCGAGGGAGATACAAGTGTGAGGCATGCAATGACTCCCAAACAGTCCGACTGCGCATGCTGCCTGGCATAGCAGGCGTCTGAGGCCGTTTCGGCTACGCTTTCTTGACACTCTTGTTCCAAGACCCCGAATGCTGACAGCCTAACCTCCCAGATCCTAAAGGTAAAGAAGCACGGAGTCCTTGCATCAAGCACCTGTCGAAAGCCCTCGTCAGAAAGTGGCGGCTCTGGGCCCGAGAGCTGCGGGCACCGGCCCTCAGAGAAATTGGACTTGAAAAGTTCGGCGATGGAATGGGGGAGGAAAGCCTGGTAAGAAGAACCATCACCTATATTCTGGTTTCACGACAGCGCAACACCTGCCAGCCCAGTCCGAAACAAGCTGAAACTCCGAGACTTGGGTGCCACCGAGGCTCACCACAGGCGTCCTCGCGCCCGCAACAGCAATTCTGCTGCTGGCCCATGGCAAGCGTTCTCGGTTAGCTCTAATGCTTCTCGGCCGGGTGTTGCTGCCTTCTGCAGTTTTGAAAGCTGTCTCTAGAATCGGTCATGTTGAACGGCCGCAGACGAACGCAGCAAAGCCACCTCACATTGCCCGGAGGCTGCCACTCTGCAACCGACGAAGGCATGCTTGGTATGCTGCGGCATGCTGCAGTCCTCCACTTTCTCTGGCCTGACCCCACTGTCAGTCAAGAGGGCCCTGCAAGCAGGGCATGTTTGCTTCTTGCCTCTTGCATCCCCTACCAGGCTTGTTCGATAGCCGACATGCAGCGGAAATTCTACCAGCCACCAGCACGACGGCTTAGACGGTGTTCGTACGGCTTGACGGCAACGACGACGACAATGACAACGATGACGACTACAGCTGCTGTTGGCTGTTGCTGCTGCTGCTGCTGCTGCTGCCACCTCTACTGCTGCTGCTGCTGCTGCTGCTGCTGCTGCCACCTCTGCTGCTGCTGATGGCGCTGCTGGTGCTGATGGGAGGCCGACGTCGAGGGCTCCGGGCGGCACTCCAGCGCTTCACCAACCGAGTCCAACCCAAAGCTTCATCGACAGGCTTCGCCAAACTGATCGTTTGCTGTCAGTAAGTTTCTGGCTGTGCTCCTACTGTGGCTCTGCTTTGCAAGCACGCACACCAAGCCTGAATGCTGTCACATGGACTCGGCGGGTGAAGATTCGGCGGGCAGCCTCCTCCTGCAGGACAGGTGGACGGTCTTGCAAAATCCGGTCCTACCATTGCAGATTGCGGCCACGATGCATTTAAAGAAGCGCTCAATCGCCGCAGCTGATCTAGATTGCAACACCTGCCCGACCGAGACATCAGCATGCGACTACAATAGCTTTAGGACTGGTCTTGGTATTTACAGGAGCCACACCTCCACGTTTCCATACGATCAGAGATGCGGTTCCAGTAAGCAAACCAGAGTAATCGCCTGCCTGAACTAGAATCACATGTGCGTAAGCGCATGCCCCATTGTTGCCACACGCACGTGCATCACAAAGTCCGAAAGTCCGAAGCAAGCTATGCTTTCTTGAGCTTCTTTTTTAGAAAATTCTGCAGTGACCATCATCTAGGTCCCGAAGATCTCGAGGACGCTAATACCACTCTCGCCAGACATGGGAAAGGGCCACCCCTTCCGTGGAGAAAGGTTGCGCTCATGTTCGACACATTTCAGCTTGCGATAGGCCCTCGCCGAAGCAAACCAATCGTCCCTTAATCGTCCCTTTTTACAGCAGGCCTCGTACACAGCAGCCCGGTCCCCAGCATCACTCGCTCACATCGTCCCTAAACCCTAAACCAGTTTGCGGGGTTCTGAGACCAAATTCTTCGGCCAGGGGACTCCAGCAGCTCATTTCGCAGCTCGGAGGAGAAGAAGGCTTTCGCAGAGCCACCTCAGGCGGCTTTTTAGCTGCAAAATCTGAAGCTTTGGCTCAACGTTAAAGATGGGTCGGTACGCTATGGCAGGCCGCCAAACAAGAGTTCTAGACATTGCCACTCGCCCTTGTATGAAGGCCTCCGGCAGCAGGTCTACAGAGTCTATAATGAAACCCGGGAGCTGATCAGCGCACCCAGCACGTCCTGTTTGATGCGCAGAGGTCGGAGCGGCAGAAGTCTTCCGGGCTAAAGCTGCATACCCACATCTGGGTTTGCAACCCCAAAGACGCATACCTCGCCTTGGGAATCTCGTCGTCGGAAGAGGAAAAGAACCTGACGCAAATTTGACAGTGGTGATTGCAAGATGGCTGGAAGATGCTGGAACGGCCCGTCTCTGAGGCGACGGCCATTTATGTTGCAGTGCTTGCATAGCCCGTGGCCTTTCCTCTGGCTTCTTTCCTTGAGGCATGCCACGAGGAGGCAAGCTGCTGGCGGACTCCGATCTCTGTCCCACGGACGACAAGAGAAAGCGATCGGAAAATGCAATCCCGGCTTCTCAGCATCGACGATACCAGCTCGGTGAGGAGATGCCTCAATGGAGACACGTGAGCCAGCCAAGCTTCACTCTGCCACAAGCATCGACTGTCCGGTGCCGCTCCCAGGCTGCTTCAACCAGGGCTCATCCGTGTTGGAAACAGCTGCCAGGGGGGCTGGTTCGTGATGGTCTGTTGTCCGACCTCCTGAAATTCCAAACACGTTTTCGCTGCCCAAGCAGTGTTGGCTGAGGCCTCCTTAGGCAGCCTTCAAAGCATGAAGAGCTCAGTCTGCAAAAGATCTGTGTTTGTCTATCTGCAGCACACAAAGATTCGAAAAGACATGCTGACGCCAGGCTCCTGCACATTCTTGGCCTGCACCTGTTTCAGGGTTTCGAGCACGCGCCGCTGGAACTGCTGTCACTGAGTCCCCGTGATGCTACCATAGGCAGTCAGATCTTGCATGATCTTGCCAACATCACTCAAGCTGTCGTTTTCATCCTGGCTCTGCCAATGTCTTCCAAGCCACGACAAACATCAGAGGCATGACTATCGCGGTAGCAGTCGCCCCGAGTCCCAAACCCCCTAAACCGACTGGCCTGGAAAATGCCAGCCACGGCGTCGGGCCCAGGACGAGGCACACGAGCTGCGAGCAGCTGAAAAAAGACTACGCCCAGCGAGAAGATGTCCTTATCAGAATGCGTTGAGCTGTGAGGGTTTTACTTTTTTTACAAGGGACTTGACTATGAGGGTTCTACTAAAACCCATAACTATGTAGAACTCTCTCTACTGATTGCTGCTGCTACTGCGAACTGTTACTCCGACCATTACTACTACGACTACTGACTTTGCAGCCCGGACAGCTCGGGTGGGACAAGGAAAGGCGTGAGAACTTTTGCCGGTGCCGGGGCGACTTATTCACATCACCGTCATTGCTGTACCTACCATACTTGCGGTGCCGTGAATGCACTAAGCAGCTGCAGTTATCCTCCAGTGCAACAGCACCACAATGCAGATACCGAAAACAGCCGTCTTACACACATAACACGCAGTCTCACGGTGCATTTTCCTTGCAGGGCAGCGTAGCACAGACAGGTGGCAAACGTATTACAACAAGAGACATGCCAAAGAAGAAGAAGAAGAACCTGACGGAAAAGAGAGCACTATCAGGAAAAGCTCAGAAAAGGCAAATCGGCTTTCCGATGAACACACAAAAGGTTGGCAAAGCCGCGGTTTGCCAACGCCTCAGGTCCCAAGGGGAGAGTTCCCTGCCCGGTGACTGAAAATGTTGCAATCAGTGCAGTTGAAGTGCACCCTGCGGTTGCCAGCGATACCTCTTCCAGGTTTCGGGAGGGATGTAACCTGTCGAGGCCACATTGTGCAAGCATGACCAGATGGTAGAGTAGAAGCAAAACATCCTGGCCTGGCGTGCCACTGATGCCAGTAACTTTGCTGCAGATGCTCTGCGCAAGTCCGAAATCTGGCAAGGAGGCATTCGGGGAGGCTGTCCACTAAACTTTGTACGTCTCTGCGACTGCCTGTTCTTTCGTCTTCTCTCTGCTAGACTAATGCTGGACCAGGTTTTCTGTGTGCTGTACCGTCTGCTGCACAGAACGTCTCTTCTCTGTTGCCTCTGACAATCAGGTCAAGTCATATATGACTCTGCATGGAGTCATTCCGAGTGAAACGTGCTTCCCCAACACTTGCGCGACAAAAGGATCATGGCGACAGAGAAATGTCCCAAGTCTTTCACACCATAGATCACGATAAAAGCCTATTGACCCCTTGAGCTTTCAACTTCCATGAACCATGCGAGTGTGCAGAAATGCCACCGCCTGCCTATAAGGACAACTTCAGGATTTTTGAAGTCGTCGTGACGAAGCATTATGTTCGGCTCTTTGATGTCCTTGGCTTTCAACCGGTGTCAACGACAAACCCAAAAAGCTGCACCAGAACTTACTTGTACAGAACCCTATCACCAAACCCAACTCACAACACAAATCTGCACATACACTGCTGTATCTAGTCTTCTAGTGGTCCTCGTGTGTATACATACATAGTGTACATACATACACACACATATATA